TTTCTTTCTTTCTTTTGTGGAAAAAAATTAGGTGAGTTTGGTCACAGGGCTCATAAGAAATACATGACTCTAGATTTAGAGAATGCTTAACTGCTTACAGAACTGACTTTTTACTAACAAGACCAACTCAAAAATAAGTTGTAAGATGAAATCCTCAAAAATTATGGAGGACTAGGGTATAAGGATTATTTCTAATATGTTCTCTCCTATTCATGATATAAGAAGTTTATAACTTTTCTCACGTTTCAAGAAATGAAAGTTTAGACATATGTTTTAAAATTATATAAATTTCTTATTTTATCCTTAAAAAAAGATAAAATTGCTTTATCTCTCTCATATCTTTCCTACATTTAATAGGACTGAAATTTAAAAAAAAAATCATACTCCTCCGATCTTTAATATAAGATCTGTTTAATTAATTTGATTAGATTAAGAAAGTTAGGTAAATAGTTAATTATAGAAAAGAATGATGAAACGTTTTCTTAAACACCATAATCATCTTCTTAATATCTTCTCTCCCTCTTCTACTTGATTATGGTTAAAGGAGTATCTATAGGGATAATTTAGAAAAAATTTATAAGTATGAAAAATAGGTCTTATATTTTTTTGAGCTGAAATAGGTCTATATTTAGATCAAAATTAACTTAACAATTAGGTCATATATAAAAGATTGGAAGAGTATTAATTATTTAATAACGTCTTATATTTTGAATCACAATTTAAGGGGAGTAAGTATTAAAGAGGTCATTTGAAAAACTAATACACACTTACTATAATAATTAATAATTAATTTTTTTAATTTAAATTAATTAATTATCTAAGTTGGCAGAATTAGGTTTTTTTGCCCCCGAACATTAATATAGACTTCAGCGAAAACGGATAGAGATGAAAGAAACATGTGATTTCGCCTTGTACGGAAATGTCAGAAGTGGTAGCTGTCAAGGCAAATCTCACATAACAAGATTGAAAACTCACTTACCGAAATTACCCTTCTCTGGGATGACGGCACACGTGGCTCATCGCCAAGTGTCCACGTCACCCGCACGGGACCACTCTGAGTCGGTCGGAAACCTTCAGCTCCCAAAACAACTCACCTGCGCAAACAAAACTAACAAACCCATCTCCGTCTATCCCCGCCATCGCCACCACCTCCTCCCCTCCTCCTCCTCCTCCACACTCTGAAAACAGAAGATCACAAATTCACTTCGATTTTGTTATCATAATTATAAGTTCTTCCATTTTCTTAACCGCTTTCAATCTCTGAGTATATAAAACGCGATTGATTGGAAAGTGTTCCTCCACCGAATGAAATTTCTCGTTGTTGGAGTTCGCAGGTCTTATGATTGGTCGGGATTTTATCATTGAGGAACTGAATTTGGGATTCCGAGCTTACACATGACTTTGCTGCGCAAATTGTTCTTTCGTAAGCCCCCCGATGGGCTTCTTGAGATCTGTGAGAGAGTTTATGGTACTTTCCTTATTCCACACGTTTTTTTTTAGCTCTTTTCCTTCTCTCTTCTGATTGCATTTGTTGGATACTGTGTGTCAAGCATTCTCTCATGGATAATTCGTCAAGTTGTTTTAGATCATAGGTCTATTTGGTTGAGGAATGCGGGAAAGTGATGTGACGGCGGGCCATAATCAGAATATTCCTTTTATCTTTCCTTTCTTAACCGTTCTTTTTTTTTTCCTCCCCTTGAGTGGAATGATGGGACATTGCTATGCCCCGTGAAATTCCCTGCCAAAAATGGAATACATGATTGGCAGCAATTTCGTATCTTGCAGTTATAAGATAAAAAATGAGGTTAAGTAGTTGAATATATAGATTATGTAAGAAGGGGAATTACTGAATGTTGTGCATTCTATTTGTATGTCCAGTTTTCGACTGCTGCTTCATGACGGATGCTTGGAATGAAGAAAACTATAAAGTCTACATGGACGGAATTGTTGCTCAACTTCGAGAGCACTTTCCTGATGCTTCGATCTTGGTCTTCAATTTCCGCCAGGAAGAAACGAAGAGTCAGATGGCTAACATCTTGTCAGATTATGATATGACTATAATGGACTACCCTCGGCAATATGAGGGCTGCCCAGTGCTCAAGATGGAGGTCATCCACCACTTTTTACGGTCGAGTGAAAGTTGGCTCTCGCTTGGGCAGCATAATGTTCTGTTGATGCACTGTGAACGTGGTGGCTGGCCGGTTTTGGCTTTCATGCTGGCTGCGCTTTTGATTTATCGAAAGCAATACAGCGGAGAACAGAGAACTTTGGATATGGTTTACAGGCAGGCTCCACGTGAGCTTTTGCAGTTTTTGTCACCGTTAAATCCGATTCCTTCCCAGCTGCGGTATCTGCAGTATATTTCCAGGAGGAATGTGGCCATAGATTGGCCGCCATTGGACAGGGCGCTTACGTTGGACTGCATCATTCTCAGATGTTTCCCGAACTTTGATGGGGAAGGTGGATGCTGTCCTGTATTTCGAATTTATGGACAAGATCCTTTTCTTGCAGATAAAACTCCAAAAATCTTGTATTCAACACAGAAGAAAAATAAAACCATCCGGTTTTACAAGCAGGTGAAATTTTATCATTATGCACATCCATGATTCTAGCACTTTCGGTCACTTTCTTTAGAAAGTAGAAGTTTTTCTTCTCTTTATGTGGGTAAATGAAGAAAATTCACGCAAGAAATTGTGGTCTTTCTTTTGGTTTTTTGGAACTATTGGTGATGTCCTAAGATTGGTTGGAGGCACGCACTGATTGCACATATGAAAAACAAATGAGATTTGGAGTTGTTGTGTTGTGCAGATAAGCAAACAAATATTTACTGATACTGACCAAATACTGACATTTAGAATTCTTAGCATCAATATTTTTGTAAAAACACTTTGTCAACTGATAGAAGCTGTGATGTGGTGCATGAATATGAGTAAATTGGGAGTTGCTGTGCCCAATTGTTTTGTATAATAGCCCTCTGTTGCTCAAATTTTGATGGTTTGTTTTCTCCGTCATAGTCTATTCACTTTCATCTTTTTTCTTTTTTTTTGGTTTTGTGGAGACTTTTCAATTGAGATGCAATGGAGGGGTCAAAAATTTTGTGCAAAAAAGGTTATGTTCTTGTACATGGTGACATCTGACTTGTTTAGCTTGCTATGTGGGAAGTCATTAATAAATGAAGAAAGCAAGAAGTCAAATAAAATATCTCAATAATATCCCCTGCCCCCCGGGGGGCATCCTGTTGAACGCCGCACCCCACACAAAAAAAAAAAAAGAAGAAGAAGAAGAAGAAAAGAAAAAACACACATCTGAGGGTTACGTCCATCAATCGGTTCAATGATGCAAGTAGTTCATAAGCCATTATGGCTCAGCTCAAACCTACTATTCTTGTAATTCGGTTTAAATTGGCAACTAAGTTTTGGAAGCTCAGAAGTGTAGGAAATGAATGTTAGACATATGTATGCGCATTTATAGCTGTAGAAAATGTCGTGTCTTGTTCATTGTTGAAAACATAGGAGTTTCATATTAGGACTAAGGATGGTCTTAGTCTATTGTCCAAGAGGTTGCACCCGTGGAGTAATCTTTGGAATCAGTTTTCCTTATAATACAATGAAAAAAAGAGAAGGAAATTTCTGAGGGAAAAAAAAAACGGAGTGAAAAGTTACACACTCCCCGTTTAGGATTTGGGGATACGTAGAAGGGTTTTTTGGGGGAAATTTCAACATTCATCAGAGGCCTTGCAATAATTTGGAGGAGTTCAGAAGGCCCCATTCTTTTGAAGCCTATTTTGCTGGAGTGCTCATTGTGTACTTTATATTGGCTTATACGTTTTCACTTTTTTTACAAGATGAACTAGAATATGTCCAGGTTTGGTAATTGCTTCTGAATTCCTTACTTCTGTGTTGCAGGGAGAGTGTGAACTAATTAAAATTGACATCAACTGTCATATCCAAGGTGACGTTGTGATTGAATGCATTAACTTGACCAGTGATATGGACCACGAACGGATGATGTTCCGAGTCATGTTCAACACAGCTTTTATTAGGTCCAACATATTGATGCTTAACCGGGATGAAGTTGATATTTTATGGGATGCTAAGGATGACTTCCCCAAGGATTTCAGAGCGGAGGTATATCTCTGTATACCAATTTTAACTGTGTAGTTGTCAGTCAGATATTTCTAACATGAAATTTATTCATTTGGTTTTTGTTTGCATTAAGATCCTTTTCTCAGAGATGGATGCTGCTGCTGCTGTTATTGCGGATGGTACCTCATGCTTTGAGGAGAAGGAGGGACTGCCAGTGGAAGCATTTGCCAAAGTTCAGGAGATCTTTAACCATGTGGACTGGTTGAATCCTAAGGCTGATGTTGCACTAAATGTACTCCAACAAATTAGTGCTTCGGTGCATGACCAGATAGATAGAATTTCTACTCAGCAGCATGATACTGGATCTTTGTTGCATGAAAAAGATTCTAGAGTGCCTCAGGGAAAAAAGAATGAAGCAAAAAGGTTATTGTCATCAAATAATGAATCCCCGGAGTTTGGTAAACCTGTGACAAGTTCTACAAAGTTTGATGTAGAAGCACAAGTGCATGATCTTGCCATGTCTAGTTCTGTAGACATTTCTAGTGAATCACTTTCACCAAACACACCTCCACAGAATCCTTCCTTGCTTAGAAAATCTGATACTCCACCCAACACACAACTACCTTCTTATCTTTCCCCTCTAGGACCAGGATATCCTGTTACTGGCGAATTTGAAGCCCAATCAAAAGACAGAAGCGAGTCATCAATCTTTAGTTCAACATCTGGAACATCATTATCAAGTGTCTTTCCAAATAAGTTGCCTCTTGACGCTGCTTCCCATTTTTCAGCTTCATCTATGACTTCAACTCAGCCATCTCCTTCCCTTACAACCCCTATGAAGGAGATTCTACCTGTTAGAACTAGACCTGCTTCATCCACTTCACAACCTCCAGCACCACCCACACCCACGACTCCTCCTCAAAAGGAGCATAAACTGGTTAGAGCTGTACCTCCCCCGCCGCCGCCACCTCCACCTCCACAGAAAAAGCAATCACCGGTTAGAGTCATGCCTCCTCCACCCCCACCAATGGAAGAACCACATTTTCGACACCCTCCTCCCCAACGGCCTCCTCTAAAGGAGGAGCCTAACGTTAAAACTGGACCACCACCCCCTCCACCACCTCCTTTGAAGGTGCAGCCACCTGTTAGGGCTAAAACCTCCTCCTCCTCCTCCTCCACGTCTTCCTAGGAAAGCTGATTCTACCACCGTACCACCACCACCACCTCTCCTCCTCCCCCTGCTGCAGAACTCTCCTCCAAGAACCCTAATCCTTTGTTGCAGAATTCTACATCTGTTCCTGCTGCTCCTAATGCTCCTCCACCTCCTGTTCCCATTAGTAAAGGAGATCTAAAATCAGGGGATGGAAATATTGCATCTAGTACGATAGGACCCCGAGGACGAATTCTATCTCGTACAATAAGTAGTACAAAAATCAAAATAAAAAGCTGAAGCCGTTGCATTGGCTGAAAATATCTAGAGCAGTGCAAGGAAGTTGTGGCATGAGGCAGCGAAATCTGGTGAAGCTTCCAAGTATGTCTGATTTGGTATAGCTGTTCCATTTTCTAAGGTTGATGGTCATTTTGTTATTGTGGTGTCACATGTTTTCTGGTCTTCTTGATTCAGAGCCCCAGAGATTGATATGTCAGAGCTTGAGAGTCTCTTCTCAGCAGCAGTCCCAAGTTCAGGCCCTGCCAAGAAAGTAGGTGGCAGAAGCTCAGCTGGGCCTAAATCTGATAAAGTGCAACTGGTAATTTATATACACTTTCAATTTCCCAGAATGTTTATGCTCACATTGAATGTATTTAACGGTAGGAAAATGCAGGAAAAATAATTGCCTGGAGCTATGTTTAGTAGTAATGTTTACCCACACAACTGGTGTATGGTTTACTTCACCATTAAGGTTTTAGTACTACCTGTCTCCTTGTCATTAAAGTCTCAAGATGACAAATTGAAATTTCCAATGTTAAAGTCTCAAGATGACAAATTGAAATTTCCAATGTTACGCACTGATGTATGGTTTAAAATTATTATAACAATATAGGACAATCAACCAATCTTGGCTCCAGTTATTCTGTAGCTTTTTCTTTGGATTGCATAATCTAGGAATTATGGCATTTTGCTTGTTCAGGGTCGCCTGTAAAATAGTGAATGTTTATCGGCCTGATGCTGCTAGTCTTTACCTATCGTTTTCTTGTTGTCACATACCTTATTTGATCATGATTGAAAGATTACATTGACTTTACCACTTATATGTGATTAATATCTTCACTCTTTACAGGTTGAGCACAGAAGAGCATATAATTGTGAAATCATGCTTTCAAAAGTAAAAGTGCCATTGCAAGATTTGATGGTAGGATCAATGTTACTTTCATTGGCTTCAAGAAATTTGGTATAAAAATTCAACTAGCTCTAAATTATAAGTAGACTGCGTAGGAAACTATTGCTTGATTACTGGTCAAAAGAGGTTTTGTTCTCTGATTCATATTTGAAATTTTTCTACACTTGAACAAAAATATAAAGTTTTTTTGTAATGTGTTAATGACGAGTGCATAAAAAATGAATAATGTTGATGATTTTTTGGAATAGGCTCTAACTTGATGTTGCTATCTCAATTTATGGGGAAATGGTAGTCCAAACTTTTACCAGGTTCTCAAATTTGTTTGTAACACACCAACAAGAGCTCAATCGACCCCTATTCTAGCAATGCAATTTCAGGCTCGTGAACTGTTGCTGCTGCAAACAGATTGATAGCCTGGCGATATTTTTCTTTATCCAATATTTTTCATCATGTCAAACCATCATGAATTGATGAGTGCTAATTGGATTTTGTTTTTGGTCTATTATGTGTGGTTTGGAATATTCCAGAGCTCAGTGCTAGCACTAGAGGACTCAGCACTAGACATTGATCAGGTTGAAAACCTTATAAAGTTTTGTCCTACAAAAGAGGAGATGGAATTACTCAAGGTTGGTTGAGATTGTGATTGTATAATTTGCTAGCTTCAGATGATTAATTTTCACTGTTGACTATTTAGATGTCTGTAAAACTTTTGTTAAAAGTTATGTTCTAGTAATATGGTATGATGTGTCACTTCTTCCTTTCAAATTTTGTTGACTTCTCCTGATGGTGTTGAAGGGTTATACTGGAGAAAAGGAGAAGTTAGGGAGGTGTGAACAGGTATGTGTTTTTCACTTGTTTCACACGTTATTAGATTCTGAGGGCTATAAACCTATAAGTGATAATGAAGCTATCAATTAATTTTCCATTCAAGTTCATAATTCATATGGATTATTATGCCATCTTTTATTTATCATTACAGTTCTTCCTAGAGTTGATGAAAGTACCACGGGTAGAGTCCAAACTCAGAGTGTTTTCATTCAAGATTCAGTTCCAATCTCAGGTGATAAAGGGTGTCATATAGCATGCTTACAAGAGGGGGGAAAAAAGGCATTTATTTGATGTAGATTCTAACATTGAAATATTTTATGTAGGTTTCTGACCTTAGAAAAAGCCTGAATATTGTAGATGCTACTGTAGAAGAGGTACGTTATCCTATTGCCTACTAAAAGCCTCTTTCTAGCAATTCTTTTTCTAACAATCTTCATTTTTTTTTTATGATAAGAAATGACATTCTAGATTTATTCTGTGATGATTATTATCAGATTAGGAATTCTTTCAAATTGAAGAGAATTATGCAAACGATACTTTCTTTGGGAAATGCTTTGAACCAAGGAACTGCTAGAGGTGAGTTAACATAGATATCTGAAAAATATAGGTTGAATGCACTATTAACTTGGCTAATTCCTATAGCATAGAAAATTACCTCAATGTTTAAGAACATATTTGTAATTAAAAAATTTTGAATGAATCCCCAACAAGTTTGGCATATATTAGCCTGATCCCATTGACGGCTTCAAATGGTGACATCCCCGTAGCTGAATGGTATGAACTATGAAGTGTTATGTCAATATTCAGAGAGATAAAGCCACTTCAACCATTTTTAGAGCTGACCACTTGTCATGCAACATAAATACCATTCTAAGAACCTATTTAAAAGGTTTGTTTGACTATCCATCCCGGATGGAAGGCAGAACAATATGGCTATTTGACCTTGTAAAGTTCGTTAAGCTCTCTCCAAGACTTCTCACGAAAATATAGAAGCTCTATCCTCGACATTCATTTTAGAAAACCCATGGCAACTTTATTCAACAACTAAGAATTTCCCTTTATCATTATTTCTTCCACATGACAGGAGGGGGAGGAGAATGAAGGTTTTTTTAACTATCATATAAACATCCTATAATTTAAGCCTCAAAGCCCCCTAGCTGCACAATTAATAAGAGTATGTTCGTAATTACTTATTCTCTATATTGAATGACCTTTTTCAATGTATTACCATGTCAGTTTTGTACATCCTAACAAGGGAAGGAATATTTAGACATCATTTTTCTCCCTTTTTATGGGAATAACTTCTTTTGCCTTCTCCTCCCAATTCTAGCTTTACTTGTAGTTTGTTTCTTCCTTGTGTTTATTTTCAACTGTTAGGCATTATGTCTATGTGGTTTCGGATGTAACTAGGGGAAGATAGATCGTCATTCTCACAAGGTTATCATAGTTTATTTTCTCCCGTCTTTTAGGTTCTGCTATTGGATTCAGATTGGACAGCCTTCTTAAACTCACTGAGACACGAGCACGGAACAACAAGATGACTCTCATGCATTATCTTTGTAAGGTGCATATTGATGCTTATTCCTTGTCACATTCATTGGTTCATTCTTTGTTAACCGAGGGTCTTCCCCCCCCCCCCCTCTTAATCTCTTTTCTTGTATTTCTCTTTGAAAGAAACCTGCTCTAGCTGGTAAAAGATAACAGTTGACCTTATGCTTACCTGTAGGTGTTGGCTGACAAATTACCTGAAGTTCTAGACTTCTCCAAGGATCTTTCTAACCTAGAGCCTGCAGCAAAGGTTCTGGACTTCTCAAAGGATCTTCTTATTTTATTATGTTGGAATTGTGGCGATGGAATTTTCAATATACTCCGTCTAATTTCATTTTTAGACAAGGACGTATTGACAATTTTACAAAAGTTAAGGAATTTGGTTAAAATTAACTAAAGCTTTTAAAATTTCAAAATTATCCCGATTGAAGTTCATTAATTAGAGGAGGTTCTTCAGTTATCAAGATTTTGTTTAGTTAGTTGGGGAATATCAAACCACAAGGATATTTATGGGAAAAAAAACGTTTTATAAAAACTCATATAAGGATCGTGGGGAATGTCCTTATAAGAAATTAAGGGAATAATAAGCATGTTTAAGGACTAACGTGTATAACTATAGCAGATCCAATTGAAGTTTTTGGCAGAGGAGATGCAAGCTGTAAGCAAAGGATTAGAGAAAGTTATCCAGGAACTCTCAACCTCTGAAAATGATGGTCCTATATCTGAGACATTCCGCAAGGTGCTTAAATAATCACGTATTTTATTCTTTTATAAGTTTGAAGGTTTTCAAATTAGTCTCAATTCACGAATGATGTTTTTTTCCTCCTTGTTCATTCTTGTACTGCTCAAAGTTATAAATTTGGATAAATAATTACATCAACTTGAATAATTTTTATCATGTGCCAATATATGATATTAAAGTCCCATATTAGCCTGTTTCTAATATCAAGTTTCCTTATCTATGTGCATTCTGTAGCATAGTTGGAGTTTAATTTATTGCTTGTTCTTTCAGACTTTGAAAGACTTCCTCCGTTCTGCTGAAGCTGAAGTTCGATCACTGGCTTCATTATACTCTGGCGTGGTAGGCATTTGAGCTAATGTTTTCAGAGATATTTCAGATCATATAAAAGGTTTTCACTTTGGAGAGTCCTGTACTCTGCAGGGTAGGAAAGTGGACGCGTTGATTGTTTATTTTGGTGAAGATCCATCTCGCTGCCCTTTTGAGCAAGGTGTCTTTCTTTCTTAATATTGCAACTTTCCTTTCTGTAGCTTGTATAATAAGCTCCACTCTGTCTAGTTTTATGGTTATGGTGTTTGAAACCTTGTACTGTAGATTATAGTTCCAATGAGTAGGTTGTTGCAGAGATTCAGATGACTGATTTGTGCTTTCCTAGTGATTTATCGTGTTCAAAATCTTTGTCAGAAATGCCATATAAAAGTCTAATGCAGTTAATTGGTCTTTTTTCTACCATATCTGCTGTTATCATTGAAAAGTATCCTCTTGCTAATTCTCTTTTCTTCAGTTGTGTCAACCTTGCTCAACTTCACGAGGATGTTTTACAAAGCCCATGAAGAAAACTGCAAGCAGCTTGAGCTTGAAATGAAGAAATCATCTGATAGTGAGAAAAAGATATGTGAATCACAAAGGATACTGCCTACAGCAATCCGGACCGGCAACGTCAAGTGATCAGTAATTAGATGGACTACTAGCTTTGAACCAGAATGGCTGATGATGTTGAACAAGCTTGTACATGGCACAAGTATCAGAATCTGGCAATTTGCATTGCAGAACAGAATGTAGCAGCTCATTATGGTGCTTAAGTGAGGTAAAACTCTGAACTATGGTTTGCTGAGTCTAGTTGATTTGAACTTTTTCCCTCCCTGTATAGATGTCTTTTTCATTCCACTGACTTTATTCATTAGATTATTTTGGATCTCACGGCAGAGGTAGCAGATCTCGCAGGATCTTGTTCTTTTCTCAGACAACTTGTATATATATCTTCGCTCAGCAAATGTAACATTGTCAGTAATTTTCAGGAAAAGGAGGGATTTGTTATTTTTCTCTCCCCTTCTGATTTTGATCTTCTTTCTACCAACACAAGGTTGGCATTTCAAATGAAAATTTTTGAATATCATCTCTTGTATAGATTATCTACAATAGGTAATATTCATTCACTGAAGAATGTACTCTAGAGCATAATATTCCTTACTTGTAGACATTAAAACGTAAAGGATTGTTGGTCCCAAGAAAAGGAGACGATGGTTCAAAAAGTGATGGGAAAAAAATTGATGAAAGTAAATTATGTATGTGGTATACGTTCTCTTTTTTAATGGAATATTTATCAATAATACTAGGGGCCAAAAAGTGTGAACAAGGAATCACAGTTCTCAGAGCTGATCAATTGGCTTTCTTTTTTAATTCTCCTTGGTTTAGTACTTTGTTTAATAATCATTTGCTAATATTGTGTCTATGAGTCTAATGGAATGATCTGGATGGCCTCAATGAAACTACTGGGTATGATTTCCTTTGTCAACTTTTGCATTGGTGGACATGTTTAGATTGTTAGGGTACATGAATCAGGAATGAATTGACAAGAACTAAAAGGAGATCATTTGTATTGGGGGAAAACATTTCCGTATAATGAGGATGCCATCAAATTCAGAGATGTGGTTTTACAGAAAGGTGGAGATAAAATAAAGTGACGAGAAAAGAAAAAGAAGGAACAACAAATATATGCCCCCACCCCCCCCCCCACACACTCACACAAACAACGTAGGGGCCAATTTAAATTATTGCAGGGTTTGGTACTGAGGAACCTAAACAACCATGAAAATGAGATCACGATGAGGTGTTTGGTCAAGTGTAACCAAAACTGATGCTCATTGGTGGACAGTCCCAATGATTTGTGCTTTTCAATTAATTCTTTAAAGTTAAGGTGCGTAGTTTAAACCTCTCTTTCGAACTTTTCCCAGTGTTCATTATAGTTATCCTGTCTCGCACATTCTGTGATCCAAAACCAAAGTAACATTGCTTCTGGGATCGTATTAGGAGATAAATTGCTTAAATATTTCGGAAGCATATACAAAGGACCATCGAGCATCTGATTTTTTTTATTTTGTTCTTATATGTCCTGAAAGTTTTATTTAGTAATATTTTTGTTCTGAATTGTTATCCATTGTCAAGTTTAACCATTTAAAAAACCGGTCAAACTGCATAATTTAATAGTCAAACTTAATGGTGGGTAATGGTCAGGGTATTTTTGCTATGAAAATAACTTTCAAGATATATAAGAATAAAAAAAAAACCATATTTTATTTTTGCTATGGTCAGGTTTTAAAGTGTTAGGTGCTCCTTCATGAATATTTTCAGAGTATTTAAACATATTATCCTTTTTATTAGTAAGATTGAACGAGCTTATATACATATATATACATATATATATCAAATAAAAAAACCATTTCTCCTCGAAGAAGATCAAGAATTTTAATAATATTATATGTGTGAAAAATTATACCAAAACAATTATTAGATGTCATACATTGCAATATATATAATATATAATGGCACTGACATTTAAAACCTGCATTTTTCAGTAGCAAATATGGGGCAGGTGAAAGGATCCCCCGCAGCCCACGGACACTGAAAAGATCATGCAAATAAACCTCAGCATTTGTCCCTTAGTAAATATAATTTATTTTTAGTTTTATTATTTTAATGAAACAATTACAATAGATCGAGGAGCACATCTTAATAATGGAGTGTTAGAGCTTAAATAATAGAAATTATTCACTTCATATTATATATATATATGGTGTCTCGTACACTGCAACGCATTATATTATGGTAAAAGACACATGACTATTATGGTACGTAGTTGAAGCTAATCTATACATTATCTTAAGCATTTTAATAACTAAAGTGACCCCCATGTGTCATGAACCTAAACCAAGGTACAATCACATCCCACTAAGATAATACTTGTCTGCTGGGGGCCATAATAATAACAACAACAATAATAATATGGAAAAAATTAATTTGCAAGTTTTTCATGGGGTCTAACATAGTTGGCACTTAAGTTGATTCTTTAAGTATCTAGTTAAAAGTTTAATTCCTAGCGGTATGTATAGAGAAGGTCTCGTAACCAGCACTAAAACTTCTTTGAAAAGTTTATGGTAAGATTAGTTGCTGTTTTGATTTGCAGGTTTTAGTTTATGTCATTTAAGTTAGGTTCTCATAGCTTGATTCTTTATAGATAAGCATATGTCGTTAAGCGTCAAAATCATAAATTTTAATTTATAAATTTCATGAATTTTGTAAAATTTCTTTGATTTCATTTCACTGTTTTAACTTCGTGCATTTTTATAAATAAAATTATATTGTCTATAAATTAAAATTAATGTATCAAATGATGAATGTACAATTCAAATAAAATAAATTATAGGAATCTAATTTAAAATCAAGATAAACTATAAGAACTTACAGATTAACTCTTTTGTATCAAATAGTAAGTTTAATTACTGATTTTAGTTATGTTAAATTGCACAAAATTCTCCTAAATTTTGAATCAATTACATATAGTTTTCTACCATTTCAACGCTTAAATTTAATCCCCTAAATTTTTTTTATCATGAATCATTATCTTTTTAATAAAAATTGCCCCATCAAATTAATAAAAAGCACATGATATCCTATGCAAGTTAATAATCTTACAAAACTCACGTGAATTTTAGACCAGTTACATATAACCCCTTACTATTACAAGATATAAATTTGATGTCCTAAAGTTTGAGAGTTTATGTAACTGACTTAAAGTTAAGGGGAATTTTATAAAATTATTGACCTTCGTGTAGGGGTCATAATTGAAAAAAAGTTATAAGATTAAATTTGAACTTTGAAATGAACTAACCAAAAGTTTAATCACAATTTTATAATTCTAATTTAGCATTTTAACTATATAGGGTTGTTCAACACTTCTAACTTTTTGTGCCTGAAACAATTAAACAATTCCACCGAGTGAGAAAATTCATATACCCAAAGATAAAAATAATGAAGGCGGTCATTGTTTAGGGCAAAATGATTTTTATTTCGGGACTTGAGATTCAGATTATTAATGACCAAGCAGAATGTAAAGCCTCCAATACGCAGAACATTTGATTTAATGCTTCAATTATAAAAATAAGAAAAAAAAATGTTTCGGCAATTTAACATAATATTTAAATAATGGTCTGACTTCAATTGTCAAAAAAAAATTGAATTAAAAATCTGGATCCCATGTGAGTCAAGATAACATATGAAAATTGGTTGAACCTTCAAGTAGTGTAGTAAGAGGAATTTTGCCTAAAAAAAAAAAGTCAATTTTGAAATAATACTAAGAACTAGATGGATAGTTGAATTGGTCAAAACAGTAATTTAAAAGTCAAAAGTTTAATTATAATTGAATCAGAAGTCAATTTAATCATAATTAAAATAATTTAATTTAATTAAAATTTACAAAAAAAGTCATATATAATCATGAGATAAATAATATTCAAATAAAAAGATATTAATCGACAAGTAAGTAAATAATTCATATATATAAATTATGCATAATTCAATTCACCAAAAAAAATCATACATAATTCAACAAAACTGTATTACTTAAAAACAATCTAATGTATTGCTCTTTATAACACAAGATGATATTGTTTTAGGCTCAACAAAAAGGAAAAAAAATAAAATTTAAACCAATCAACCAGTTCAAAACTAAATTGTTAATTAGACTGATCAAAGAACTGATTCTTTTGTTTGCTAGCATGACTGATTGACCTGGATTGAAATAAGCAATTTTATTCATAATTTTTTTGTGCAATTTTATCCCTGAATTGCACAAAAAGATCATGAGTAAAATTATATGATAATGGTAGGACCAAATAGAAAAGCAATTTTCTAAAGAAATAGGTAAATATCTAATTTTACCTCTGATCTAATCTCTCATATGCAATTTTATTCATAATTTTTTTGTGCAATTTTATCGCTAAATTGCACAAAAAAATCATAAATAAAATTATACTACTAAAAAATAAAAGATGAAACTGCAATAGAATTTCACTTTTGGGGGGGGCCACCAAGCATATGTGTGTTGTAGGTGCGGGCTGCCCTAAGAAGCAAAGAGCACGTGCGGTGCGCCGCTCAAGTCACGTGCCTTCAACGGTACTATAAGCAGATGGCCAGATGCGGACGTTGGGATCTTAACCCAAAAAAAAAAAAAAAGAGGCACATACGCAACAAATTATGAATGTTGTAGGCTCTAACTAACCTCTCTTATCCCAATAAGTTGACGTTGACTTGCGTCCCAATCTTTCAAAAAAATTTTCAATCAACATTTGAACTCATACACGCTTAATTAAAATATGACCCAAGTTTAGTAGTAGTAATTAAGGATTAAATTATGGAATTTTAAAATTACAATCTATCTAGCCCTACAACTACTGTAATCCAAGTAATCAAATCAAAATTAATTATTAAACTTGATACTTACTATTAAAGACGATCAACATCAGTATAACAATTGATAAATATATGAGATTATATATTTACATACATAACAATCACACTAGATATTTAGGTTTCATTAATAATAAGAACTTTTTTTTTTTTAATCTTGTGTAGTATAATGATTTCTATTCTCTAGATTCAGGGGGTGTTTGGGAAACCCAAAACTATGGTTTCAGAAGCACTTTTCTGCAAAACGAGGTAATCTCCTCCACATATTTACTTCGTAATCCGTAAAAACACTTCTGAAATCATAGTAGCTTTGGAGAAGGAAATTTTTTTCAATAAAAATTACGTACTTAAATATAAATACACAATACTACCTCATGTCCTTAATATATGACATCATTTTCCTTCTATTTTGATTTTAAATATAAAGTTCCAATATATTTTGTCTCTTATATTTATTCATTTTTTTTCAATGTACTCTTTATAATAATGGTAATTTTAGTCAATATACTTCTCTAGTCCTATTTACAAGGCAGAGAGAAGACTTTTTTAGTTTTATTTATAGAGCACTGAGAAAAAATTTTTGTATAGACGTATAATTTCACCCTTCAGTTATTATTATGGTAACTTTATTTACATAAAGTATAATATATATTAAATACAGATAAAGTTAAAAAGTTGTTGAATTTTAAATAAAAACTAATGAAGTTTAAGGTTTTTCTTGTTCTGTGTGAAACATATTGAAAGTGACTTATAAATAAGACTAAATGAGTACTTGATTAACAAAGATATTTTAGAAAAGACGGTACTTATTTATTA